CAATGTATTATACTGATGTTGAAAAGATATTCTGTCCTGTTCTGGCTTTAACCCAGCACGTTCTAAATCTGGGACAATTATTTTCTTAAAATATTTTTTATTACTTGTACGAACAGTTATCGTTCCATCATCTTCTGCTGTTACAGAATAAACATTTTTCGGATATGGTAAGTTTCTTATACGCCACTCAAGTGAAGTCTTGGTATTTCTCCTTGTTATAAATGGCTGTGAAAGTGTAACTTCGTAATTAGTATTGATTCGATTCAAAACATCAAGATATGAGCCAATTGTTAAGAAAGTGATGTAAGTAAAAGTATTATATTAGCCAAAATTTTATTGCAATATCGAAATACAAATCAATGTGACACAATACGAAAGAAAAGCGCGAGTTATTTATTTTTTACTTGTATCAATTCCATAATAGCTAGTTAAACAAATTAAAAAATATAGGGTTCCATTTAAAAAATCATCTTGACAAGATGTTCTACTATTCTCACTTAAATAGAACTTGTTTGTAATACTACATTCATCTTTAAATTGCATAGCTCATACATACGGAATTTGAACTTTCTTGAATGCCATAGACCTCAATATTGTTTTGACTAGGTTCTGGATCTCCAATCTCTACTTTCCAACCTACATCTTGGCCAAGTTTACCTTTTTCTTTCCATGCTCTTCGTATTAAAACATTAGTTTCTAAAAGGTATTCTTCAACCATTTCCTTGCCATCTTCCATTAAGTAATGTACTTTCCTTTTACCTACGATTGAAAATATTTAGATATTAGAGTTAGTACAATTTTGAAATGGATTGGTCGATTTTTAAATAAAATGTTGTCGTGCTTCCAATTGTTTATTGATCCATCTCAATGGTTAAGGCTATAAGACCTGAAACTTGTTCTTTACAAATCCCTCTAAGGAAACATTTAATTTTAAGAATTCCACAAACAATGGAAGCATTAGGTTTATAATATTAATATATTTTTATAAGTATCTCACCATCCTGAATAATTGCTGTTTTCGTTGCATTTTCGATGAGACTTAACCATTGTTCAGACGCCATTGGTAAATTGTTAGTGTAGTTTCCTAGCAACTATCATAGATGATATATAATGTAGATATTT